CACCGGTAACTTCCTTCTTTTGTGCCTCGGAATGCAATTCAGTTCACACTCAAGACTTTGTTCCTTATTCACAGTCAACTCCTATGACCAAACCTCTCCGGAAACTGTGGCCTGTTGGGGAAAGAAGCTCTTTTGTTGCTCTCTTCACCCCTAAAAATCCCACTAAAATCCATTCCAAATGCAAGCGATCCAGGTCTTCCTTTCAAAACACTCTGCTACAGCAGCTTACTGGCAGGTTAGTGAAACGTGAAAGGCCGAGTTACAGGGAAGACAGAGAAAGCAATAGCTCTGTTTCACAGCACTTCCTTAACAGCCAACCACCTGCCAGCTCTGAGGAGTGGATCCCTCCATCTGCAAAGAAAAGGTTGAAACCAACTGCATCTTTAACCTCAAAACCAGTTAGCTGGGCTGCTGACTTGCGGTCGACCTGTGGGCAGGCTGGTGGGAACCCGATTTCTGAAAGCAGCGAAAATGGTGTATGCTCCAGAAATGAGGGATTAAACCCTGGGGGTACAGCCAGGATTCTAACAACTCCTGTAGCTGCAGGTGTCACCAAGGCCTTGTTTTTAAATGATACGATCCCAGAAACTTGTTCCCCTTCAGAAGGCAAGAATCTTCTCTCAAGCGCAAATTATTCACGGGGTATATTGGACAGGGTAGCTGGTTGGTCTCCTGAGTTGTTCTTCCAAGCACAGAGCTCTTTTTCCAATAAGCCAAAATACTAAAAAAAGATGTTGCTCTGCAATGTTCTTTTTCATTATTTTAAGACTTTTGGGAAGGAGGGTAGAAGATCTGTTTAAAAAAAATTAAATTGTTTATATACCTGTTGGGCATATGTATTCTTAAGATGAGTTGTGTGTATTTGTACCATAAAGATGGGGGAAAACAGAATTTATTTTATTGTAAATTAACTCTAGAACGTGCAATAAATACTTTTGTAAATGTGTATTTAATAGATCTCACTTTATTCTGTACCAGTAGGTGAAGTGTTCTAGCGTTCAGTGTTGTCTTTTCATAGCAAGAGCAGCCCTGGAGTCTGTGTCCACTCCAGATTCTCACCTGATGACTCTCTGGGGAGAAGGGCCAAGTTTTCATCAAAGATTTTCAAATACTGTGTGGGAGCCTTGTATTTGAGCCCACGTGGGATCCCATGACAGAGCTTAGCTGGGTCGAGGGGACCAGCCTTGAGAGGTTGGTAGCAGCTCCCAGTTTTCCTGGAGGCTTTTCCCAAGTTAAAGGCTGCTGGTGGCAGATTCCTGTCTGCATCTTCCCTCTGCCTTGCTTGGGGCTCTTCCATGTCCCCCACCCCCAGAACAGCTGCATTGAGCATCATTGAACAGAGAAATCTTGGAGCCACTGCTGCCAGCTTGTAGGTCAGGTCCTGCAGAAGGATGTGGGAGCCTGATGGCACAGGACCCCATCAGCCTGAAAATGCTGACCTAGAGAAGCAGAACTGGGCCTAAAATTATCTGCTGTGAGGTTTTGGGGGTTTTTTTGGAGGCATAGAATGAATGTGCACCATTTGCATTGTGACTGCTGACAAGGAAACAAGGTCATTCTCCGCTACAAGCTAGACATTGCTACATTCCTGTGTTTGAGGCCTCACTTGCTTCATGGAACGGTCTGCCCAGGGAAGTGGTGGAGTCCCCATCCCTGGAGGTATTTAAAAGAAGGATAGATGAGGTGCTTAGGGACATGGTTTAATGGTGGGATGTCAGGGTTAAGTTAACGCTTGGACTTGATGATCTTAAAGGTCCTTTCCAACCTAAACAATCCTGTGATTATGAAATCGCCAATGCAGAACACGGCAATGCTGTGCTGTAAGCGATAGACTGAGCCCTATCAGGGCTTCTTGGCACAGCCAAAGGGACGTGACAGTAACAGAAGCCATACAGACTTTGAAAGCTATTGATGACTTGCCCAGCTGAGCTTTAGCCCTGCACTTGGCAACAATAAGAGCACCAGAACTGCACTAGAGTTGCTTCCATCAGGACAGCGCAGGGTTCCATGGGGAGCCCAAGTGACCAAGCCTGTGCTTGTGCCTGCATTTACCAGTGCTGTGCCTGTTTGAAAGATTCTGTTTCTTTCAAATAAAATCCTACTTGATGAATCTACTTTAGGGGCAAGTGGAAAAGGAGTAAGAACTGTCACCTGCCTGGAAATGGTTAAGAGGTGTTGGTAGCCTATGTGGCAGAAACAAAGGGCAAGACAGCATTACTCATTTCCAAATCACTGAGCACAGGGGAGACAATAGTGAAATGGTTTTAAGACATCAGTGCTCAAATAAATAAAGCTGGAAACTCATCCTTTCTATGACAGCCTCCAAGACTGCTGTATCACTGGCTCTTTAAGCACTCCCCTGTGATGAACTGGACAAAAACCCCCTTTAGTGTGGGGGTGAGGCTGGATCCAACTGATAGAGCAGAGACTTGATGGGGCTAGCGCTGAAACACTGCCAGAACTTCTACATCACATACCTGACAGTATTTTGACATGAAACATTTTGTCCAGCATGAGTAGTTTTATTCAGCAGAGAATTTATCCACATACTACGGTAAGTGATAGCTTTGGTGCAAGCTGATGTGATTGTAATTATAAGCTTGTACAAAAAGAATAAAGCTCAGCGTGTTTAATTCTGAAGGTAAAAAACCTCCTGAAAATGCATACTGGGTTTGTGGTTGATTCCCTATGCACAGAAATCCATAAATCAAGCCTAGATTTTAATTTAGGTAGGACTGTCTGTACGCCACCATGGAAATTCATGTAGGGCAGTCAGATCTCCTGTGCTTTGTGCGAGAGGACTGCACATGTAGAGAGACTAAAAAGTACCGTTGTGTGACAGGCCCCCATCAGCAAGATGAAATCTTCTGGGCAGAGCTCCCCGAGTGCTTGGTGGGAAGACTTTGTACATGAGAAGATGGAGGAGAGGCAGTAAGAGGTCTTGGTTTTGCTCCTGTAGTCTGCCAGTCCTGCATTTCTTCCCCTAGGCAGTTTGCTGGCTTTTTGCAGGGACTCCTCATGCTCCTACCATCCTTTAACCCACAGCAAAGCCTGGCTCAGGCTTTCTGCAGACCTTGCCGCTACACTTGCTGAGCAAGAAGGTTGCACATCCCACCAGTGACGTGCTCTTTGTGAGGAAGAGCCACCAGTCTTCCCCTGCCCCTTACTTTTCCCCAGGAAGAGCTTGGCCTGGCTTCTCCAGCCATCACTCCCACAGGCACCACACTCCAGCCCTCCGCTCTTTCCATAAATACTCAGTTCCCAAGCTGTCTGAGCTTTAAGGATGTTTTCTTCCCCTCCCCTTGCCCAGTTCCTACCTAGAAGCACACAGGGACTTTTCACTCTCCAAACATCTCTCTGTTTTATCGCTGACTCCAATTGCCAGCTTCCTGGGGAATGTGGAGCAGATGGTCCAGCCCTCACGTCAGACATTTACCAAGGAAGGAGCTTCAAGGTCAGGGGAAGAGGCAATAAAGGACACATGGTTTCTTCAAGCTTCACAGCTCATTTCTCAGGGTAAGTGCGAGCAGAAGTCATCCTTGATGTGGAGCAGAGCACAGGGAGGAAACCTGATCCCCTGACTGAGTCAGGGCACAAACTTTATGTATTGACCAAAAGACTAAAGGCTTAAAGTGGGAGATCTTGTTCAAAAGGATTCTAGGCCCCCAGAAAGGCAGGTCATTGGGGAGCTCCAGTGGAAGCAGCAGTCTTCTGTGAGCATGAAAGGAGCAAGTTGAAGGCTGAAGAGAACTAGCATCCAAAAAAAGGCACTGGAACAAAGAATAAATTCACCCGAAACATCCAAACGTCACTGTCATCCAACACAACCACGCTAGCATGCTAGCATCATGGTAGGACAGGAGCTTAACCAGCTACAGGTTTGCAACGATGGTGAATGAAGGGTCTACCTCTGCCAAAGACCACCCTCTAGTGACTGATGCCAGCATTTCTTTGGCATTTCACATTTCGCTATGAATTCTCTGGGTTTGAATAAAATTTTTCTTCTGCCCTAGAGCAAAGGACCATTGCTCTCAAGGACAGCAGCTCTACCTTTGCTCCTGCTGTGATAACCCAATGCTGCAAGAGCCTTGGTATGCTGAACCCCAGCAGAAAGTCCTCAGCAGCCATTCATTTGTTGGTTTGATATTAAATCATGTCAAGTGAATAGGTTTGTCCTGTACATATTTTTAAGGCAACTTTGCTTTGCAGTTCAATTCAAAAAGAGCAAACAAATCCAATGCTTTAAATACCAAGTGGAAAGGATTAAACATTTATTTACATACAGATACATATGTAAGCAATTTCTAAGTATAAAAAGGACATTACAAATAAACATGAAGCATCATACATTCATCATCCTGGTCATCCAAAATACATTCCTTTCGCAACCCCACTACACCACGCTTGACAACAGGATCTTAAAACAAAAACCAAAAAGCCAACCAGACGAGCCAAATGCTTCTGACAGTCAATGCTTCACAGTTTGGCGATTTGCTAACACCTATACCCTCCCCAAAGACAGCACTACCCCAGCAGCTCAAGATCAATGGTCCAACCAGCTGTAGTGCATTTTCTCCACTGAAATGGTTGTGCTTGATCAACAAGAAAACACATCCTCTCCTCATCCTTCTGGCCACGTGTTTAGGAATTGGGGTTCTGGCTAAAATTCTGTACATTGTGCTAAATTCACAGTTGTTGGGAAAAAGACAGCAGATCTTTGTGGGAGAAACTCCATCCCAGGAAGCTCCTTTGATGCTGTGACTTCCCTGGTATGGAAATTGCAAACAAAATGCTGCCTTTAGTGCTTAAGCAGGTTTTTCAACTACAATTCAAACTACAGTTGATGGCATAAAACATACTTTGTTCATGCTGTAAAAAAAAAAATTGCGTGCTTCAATATTGATTTGCCTGTAATCAAAGCTGAGAGTAATTCAGGTTTTCTTCTGAGGAAATGAAGATGCCTTTATAACATCTCTAAAAATGATCATAGCTTTCAGGAAAAAGGAAACATTTTAGACTCAAAAACCTAAAGATAATGCAGAGCACAACGAACTTGTCAGTTAGATAACGTTACAAAGGGAAACAAGCCAGTAAACATAAAATTAAAATGCCTACTCAAAGTATTAATGAATTCAAATGAGAGCTGGGTGAGTCTTTCTGTATAGATCAAAGGCAGTTCGGAAAAAAAAAAATCTCATGATCTGCAAATTCACAGAACAGCCAAATATGTGCAGCAGAACAGACTGAAGTGGAAATAAAAGAGGAGCAGAAAGAGCCTTGTCCCATATTGACAGCTGAGTGACTGCAGCTGCTCTGATCCCAGGGGGGGTTATTTTTTTTTTTCCTTTTGTAAACAGCTGTGGGGAATGCAATGGATGTGACATATCTGCAGTGCATCTTATTGTGCTAAAAACCACGGCACGTTTTAAACTACTTCCTAATATCCGGAGATATACTTGTCACTCCAAACCAGCATAGCAACAAGCAGGGGGCTTCCTCCATACTCGCATTAGATGGCCTTTTTTCCACCAAAACACTGGGGTAAGAAGTTGATTCTTTTTTTTTCCCCTTTCAGTGCTGGCTGTATGCGGAGGCCAGCGGTATGGCTTCTTCCAAACAGCCTGCAAGAGTTGAGGCAACAGCAGTGCCCGAAATCACGGCAGCTCTCCCTGCCATAGACCAAATGTTTTACTCTCACTCCATTAAAATGTTAAAACACCATTCCCCTCTCCTCCGTGTCCCCCTCCATAAAGGCTTGGCTTCTGGGGACACCATGGCCCTTACGTTTGCTAAAGCTCATGCCAGTGATGCAACCCAGGCCCTCAGAGATATTCACACCACCACCCAAGTGGCAGCTCAGGATGACTCTCCTCCTCCACGTGGCCGTAAGTCTCCCTGGATGGAGAGCAGCATCCACCTGGAGATTTACTCACTCACACCAAACCCCCAGCGATTCTTAACATCCACATCTCTCATACTGGTCCCATATGGGAAACATTCCTTACAGGATGCCCTGGCTGAGAACAGAAGCCAAAGTGGTGGCACAGATGATGAGCCACGGATGCTCTTCCTCCTAGCTAAAGCAGGACTCTGATACAGTGGTTCACACAACCAGGCACGTTTCCAATCTGAGACCTCCATAGTGCTTTGGTTTCCCCATGTCAGTGTGCTCCCGTAACTCCAGCCTCCCTTACCAGTGGTTCACCTTGCAAGGCATGAGCAGTATTAGGAACAAGCAGATTCATGGATGAAAGTACTGGAGGAATCAGGCTTTGAAAAGCTCCGAGGCTTGCATTCACATGACACCAGACACACCAGAGCCCTTGATCGCTGCCCATTAAAGCACAAGAGTACTTTTACCATCCCCTTCCCCTCCAGGGAACCAGGCACAGCTAAAAATGTGATTGACACAGGTTTTGTCCATATCAGATGCCTGTGGACCAGGGCTGGACTCCAGAAGATGCTCGGCAGGGACACCGCTGCGGTGCACTCAGAAGCGTGCACGTGCTTGGGAACATTACCCCAAGGTAAGCAGCAGCAGAGAAAGCAAAGGTGCAAAAGCAAAGGTGGCACCTGCTTCTTGAGTATAATTGTAGCACTAACCAGAGCTAAAGTTATCTTCTGAGCTTATTGGAAAAGTATAACTGGTTCAACAAATGTGACCACATCCAGGAGTGCTAATGGCCAGTTATTGATGTGAAGACAGAGACAATCTCTGTACAGTAAAGCCAGCTCCGTTCATCCAGACAGATAAGCTGAGCTGTTAACCCTAGCTATACTCTTAAAACCAGTCTAGTTTTTCACTGACAACATTTACAGCCTAAACTACACTCATTGCCATCTCAGTTTCTGCTATACCTGGGTTATCCTTCCCTGGTTACCCAACTGACTGTATTTGGAGGGGCAAACATTAAAGATGAGCTTTTTTTTTTCCTGGATTTCTCACATGGGGAAAAAAACCCCACCCAACCCCAAAACCCACTCTCAACTCACATAGCATAGTTTTTACTTCTGGTTTAAGCTACAGCTCATTGGCATGAGGGGAAAGGGTGCAATGGCATCCATAGGTGATGACAGCCGGCAATCTCTCTCAGCTAGATATAGACAGTACAGCAAACAGAGGCTTTGGGTGAGTCCAGCGAGGTGGTGATTAGCGAGGTAAGTCAGAGCAACGCAGCGGGCTACTTTGGGAGCCTTGCATCACACTCAGCGTGACTACCCTGTTGTCTGTTTTCCTAGCCAAGATAAATCCTGAACTGAGGCAGATGTGAGATCTGTAACCTTTACGGTACATTTGACTACAGCTCAAGTGGATGATTGCATTTCAAAGACATGACTGGCTCCAGTTGAGGCTGCTTTGCTTAGGATGCATTAGTTGCTTGTAGGAAATCAAGTGAGTGTCTCCCCACCACGCATCGTCATAAGAAATCGACACTGTCCTTCAAAACAATGAACCTTTGCTGTTTGTGAACAGCAACTGGAGCAATTACTACCCACAGCAACAAGAGGACAGACTTGACACACGGAAAGAAAGGTTGGCTTCAAGGGCCAGATTTGTTCAGACAAGCAAAGTTTTTAAAAAACTAAGGAAGAAAACATTTTGATACAACATCTTTCACCGGGCTTTCGCTGCTAGATTGGTTAGACTATTTCTTTTGGCTCCAGTGGGTTTTCCGATGAGCCTTTATGTACATCAGCATTTCAGAGAGTTTCTGTACTTGCTCACTAGGAATTCACAAAGTGTCCCCTAGAAACACCTTTTCTAACTGAGTAAGCTCAAAAAGGTCTTTGCTGGTAGGAGCAACGCTTATAAGGGTATTGGGGACTTTGATATTGAAAGCAACAGAATGCAGAAGAATCTCAGATGAGTCTCAAATTCAAAGCATTCCTTATTAAAATCCAGAATAAGCCAAATTAAGTCATAGATGCATTTTTTTTAAAAAGAGGATGGGATTGGGGAAATCTTGAGTAGAACCATTCCTTTACTTTGCATGTTCTGCTCCACGCAGTCATCCTTCCCCTTGCACAAAGGGCTATGGCACCATCTGCCCCACAGCCAGGAGAGGATTTCTGCGATAGGGTCTCCAGCCATACCTGACCACAGCAGCAGGTCCCCAAAGGCCAGTGTGTCCTGCATGTTTGCTCAGCTTATTTTAGTATTTTCCAACTGAATTCAGTCTCTGACTACAGAAATCATGCCAGCCTACTATCTCAGCCTGATTTACAGACAGTTCTTCAAACTGAAAAGAGAAGACAAGTGGAAAAGCAGCTGAACAAACAGCAGTCCTTAGGGATAGCCAACAAGGCAAAACCCAGGGGGTTTGACTAGAACTAATTGCATCCCTTGTCAGCAAAAGCTCAGAAAAGCCTGTTGTCCCATGTACATGCACCCATCGTGCTTCTGCATCACTAAGTTCGACTTTCCCTCTTTTCAAATCACTGTCTCCTCTGTCAGCCTCAGCCTGCTGCCGTTATTACTGATGCTGAAGGAATTCAATAGCCATTAAACACTAAATCTAGACTAGCGGGAGCCAACTGTTACCAATATAGCTATTTCCAAAAAGACAAACAGCACCAGCAGGCTGACAGATTTTAAGGGCCATTTCATGCATTCTACAGCAAAGAACAAAGTATCTGGTCTGACAATTTGTCATGTGTGGTTTTCATTAAATAATGACGACAGAGCCATTTAGCATCAGCACAAACATGTATTTGACTGCATGCTCGAAAAACTTACCTGTAGATCAAATCAGAACTTCAGTGTCAGAGGGAAGAAGAGGTACCCAGTGTCCCCTCCTTCACAGAGCTCATACTTTCACTTTTTCAGCCACAACTCTTTGTCCCGAAGGGCATTTTTTTTTTTCCCCTTGTGCTTGCTCTCTCACAGGGAACACAAAAAGGAACAGAAGGGAGTCATGGCTTGCCCCAGCAAACTTGCAGTGTAAATACCCAAAACAAAATACAAGCAAGTTCTTCACACGCAGTGATCTGAAGCACAGAACACTTGATGGTTTACCCAATATCAGCCTGACTGAATCAGTGGCTGAACTGGAAAAGAGTTTAGACCCTCCAGTTTTCAGAAAATGCTTTTACTAATCTCTCCAAGCAGGTTTGCTAGATAAAGCAAACATCTGTTAACCATCCAACGATGGCTTCTGCTTGGAGCTACGCATTGTGCTAAAATATTTCAAGAAAAGGTCTCATTATGGGACTACTATAAAAATTAATAATCACCCAGAAATAAGAAGTTTACTCTGTGGCTGTGAATATATCTCACCCTGAAAATACATCAAAATCTAGCAACCACACTAAAAGCACTGCCTTGCTCTCTCGATAGGAGAGAACATTTCTAGTCAAATTTGGCCCCATGATACCAATTCTGCGCAGCTTTTGGATGCTTGACCCAGCAAGCATCACAAAGTTTTTACTGACAGCTGTCTCAAAAATCCACTCATCTAGCAATGTGTTGGCCATAGTTGGAGAGATGACTGACAGATAATTGGGATTTGTATTTTTTTATCTCCTTTTATTCTTCCAGACTTTGATCACTATGCCAGAGCTCTAAGTTGTCATTATCAGTTGATAAAGCTCCTCTTCTAGTTGGGAAGCCTTCAGCAGTGGACCAGACTGCAGAAGAGAAGAGAAGCCCTCGGTGCTACAAGGAGAGGTGGGTGTATGCACCAGAGAGAGATTCAAAGGTGTGCAAAAATAACTCCTCCAAAGGAGTTACTACAATAAAATGTCACTTCTCAACAAGTAGTGTGTTCGTTAACTACAGAAAGAGTCGCATTTCAAACTACAGCTTTGGCTTATGACCTTATAAAATGTTGCACACCCCACGATGGCTTCCTTTCAGCTTCTTAAGTCTACCCAGAATACATTTTTAAAGGCAGCCTTTCACATTTGTCCCTGGAGAAGTCAGACACTTTGCTATAACATCAGCCCAGCTGCAGCACTCCACCCCACTGCAAAAGCCCATCGCTGCCTGGGGATGGAGTCCTTACATGGAGATTTGCTAGCAATAAAAAGAACCAACACATGGAAGCTGGTCAGCAGCTAGTCTCCGAAATAGTCACCTACAGGTTAGGAAAGCACTGGAAAAAGAGACTTAGCCGCCTGGAAACATCAAAGTGAATATCCATGAAAATAAAGTTAGTTTCTGCTATGTGACCAGTTCAGCTTGTTTGGTCATGATGCAGCATTACAGTTCAACCTCCAGAAGTGATGCAAGGAGCACCTTAAAATGCACTTACAGTGGTACTCAACAGGAATAAAAAGTACCCGCCCAGCTTTGATGCTTTTGGAAATCGGGCTGAGGAACCCACTGGTGTTTTGGTGGGCAGTCTCCTTCCTCCTTGATTAATTCAATCAAACAGCCCTGCCCTATTTGTTATCAATTACATGCTGACAAGTCCAACATCTGGAGGCTAAGAGCTTTTACAAATTAAATGTGTGTAGTATTGATTTTTAATTTGAGTGTTACCTTACATGTAACACCCTGAGCCTTGCTCTAAATAGCTACCCAAAAGCTGTGCAGAATCGTCTGCCTCTGAGTTGGGTGGTCTTCATTTGGCCATTTGGGGAATGCTCAAGACAGACGTTGCTCTTCAGCACAGGCTATATCACATGGTCCA